ATAATTTTATTTGTGTCCCTCGTCGATGCTGACTTCAGTCGATCTAGTTATTTACAACGGTCGTTCTTCATAGTCAACATAACCCGGACACGCAACGACAGCGTGGCCTTGGCAAACTTATTATTACATTGATCGTCTATAAATGAGTATACAAACAGCGCATACAACGGTGCCGATAAGCTATCATCAACCGATCTATTTAACTGCGTTATCGATAGTATTTTACTAAGAGCATGATAGGACGCCAGTGTCGTCGACCGCCACAGTATGAAGATCAACGGTTCGCCTGATAAAGCTGACCTAGCTGAAGTACTAACCGATGTGATTGCGTGTCAGCTGTGAATTGAAAGCTCATATCGATTGGCTGTACACTACTCAGGTCTTATCGCTACTTAGGCACACTTAGGTGACAGGGAGCTTGGCAGGGATGGTAGCGTTTCTTCTCTTAGAAATCCACAGCGGTACCTATTAACATCCTGGTATTTGCGTCTCGAATTTTACGTACACCTTAGGTCTGCAGGGCTAGCTGCCTAACGTAAATAGAAACGATTCTATCGGATGTGCGGCACTGCTGGAAACGGAGTGCATTTTTCTTTTTTTTTTCTTTCTTCGTACATTACTGTAGTACTGGCGGCATTAATGCGCGTAAACATTCTAAGGTGTTGACGCGCACATTAATGCGCCTTCCGATAAACTAAAAGGCGTGTAAATGGATTTTGATTTTACGTCATACAAGCATTATATTCATGATAAGGCTGACTCGATGTTCGCTTATATTGAAACGTATCCTAAACAAAATCTACCCTATATGTTGGACATCAAACGCTCTGTACAACTAGATGTTCGTACAAGGTCGAATATCTATATATCGACCGCACTGAGGCAGTCGACGAAAATTGTGCCAATTGGGCAATATTGTTTTTCGACATCCATGTACGTGTGCATGTATGAGAGGCTTGTCGGCCTCGAAAAACTGCTGTGCAGGCCATGCATACCTCACGGTCAGCCTGAGCGCTTCTACCGTAGCCCTCCTCATCGACATTCACCAAGTTCAATTCGCTTGCCCGGCAATGTAGCGAGTTGTCTTGACTTCATGCCCAGAAACAGTCACAGTTTCTCTTCGCCGACTAACAATAAGTAAAGGCGGTCAATTAGCCCGTCATCTGGATCTTGCTACCCCCATCTTGGCCCTCGCAGTTTCGACTAAGTCAGCAAAGCACGCCGCTGTTTCCACTCTCGACACCGACAAACGAAGCATGGCTAATTCTCCTGGTCCCTGTTCGTTCTCCCTGCGTGGCTTGTTTTTCATCTGCCAGCGGAGCATTGGATTTCGAACCGCTGGCTTCACATCGCTAGACAGCCCTATGCATCATTTAGCCGTTGGAGGGCGGCATACAAGACGGGAATCAAACGAACGACAGGAGCCTTTCAGGAGAACAAAGGCGGAGAAGGGCCGAATGACTCCAATTCTCAGCCGAATCGACTTCTGCGAATTGTGTTTGGCTCTGGACCCACTGCGCTACGCTGCGTCCGTGGATAGACGACAAACTGAGACCGTTGGGTAAAACCAAATGCGTATATTCAAATACACGAAAGAATTTACATACATATATATATATATATATATATATGCACGCAGTGGGGCATTTTACAATTGAATCGACAATATCTTCAAAGCATCGAACCCGAAACAAAAAATTGTCTTCGAAAACCTAGTGATATTAAGTAGATATATTATTTGTTAATAATATTGCTAGGCTTATGCCCCTTGGTATTAATTGGAATTTTTACTATTACCAAGTTTCGATGACCAGTCCATATTATATTTTAGCAGATCGTTTTTGTCCACATTGGTACCGATGCCTCTATGTTAGACAGATAATGAGGGGCCACCAGACTAAGCGATACGGACATCGGCCAGAGTGTCGCAGTTCCTAGGATATTGTACAGCTGTATTACCATAGCTAAGCTTTCTATCATGGCTAACAACGCCTACAGCAACAGCTTCGATTTTTGTGGCTGTACGCTTGTAGCCCTATTAACAAACTTGTTCCATTAGAGAGACGTCATTGCTAGAGCCACCGAATCGACAAACAGCAGATAAAAAAGAATGAAACGCACACCCTGCACTTACCCATACGTGGGACCAATGACTTGTTATGTGTCCGGCTCTACTCTTTGAATTTTATTTCCGGTATCACTGTTAAGCATTCTATCACGCTATATCATTCTATAGGCTTCCAGCACGAAACGGAGTCTACCTATGCCCACTTCGAACCTAGATCACAACATGCAGGCAAACACGTTACCCACTTAGCTATCACGGAAATGGGTCCGACCCTCCGAACTGCTAAGTTCTTAGCCAACGATTTCTTTAGTATACTTTTGGTAGCGGAGAGCTGTTATGAAATTTTTCAGCTGCGCTTTTTTACCCTGGATTGGTACGACCCGAGACCGGCTAGACTATTTAAGGTTAGCTTCTTGAACACTGAGGGATGCAGGAAACGGCTTGCTTTGTTGGCAACAGATCTGCGTTACAATCGATTTTCATTGCGGTGGTCCGCATGCATACATTTGCATCAAGGCGATCAAGACGAATTCAACACAGAGAATCTACGATCGTTATGGACGGGCTCACGTTTCAGGAACACGGAAGCTGACGGATGATTTTTTAGCGCACGGCTATGATGGCATTTTATAAAAAGTACATATGGGTGTGTAGTCGCGTCCGATATATATATATATACATAGTTGAAGAGAATGTCTGTTTCGAAATAAATTCATGCAAACATGGTTTTGAAGTTGACCTCAAATTTGTAGCCGACGGGTCAACGAACCATCGAAAAGACATAACGACAAACCCAACTTTTCGAGGTTGCCTAACCTCTAGCCAAAACCAGGTAGTACGGCAGCAAATATGTGTATACACATGAATGACGTCGAGGTAGCTCGATGCTTTTTGGGCAGACTCGAATAATGCAACGGTGACGACCGACTGGAGGCCTGAGGAGATAAAAAAAACTTAGCCGAAATTAACTCCAACCCGAACAAGAACCGACCCGAGCGCGTAAATAGGAACACAGCGTCGAAAACCCAGCGGAACGCAGCGCAGACGGTAGCAGTCGGAAGCAAATTGGTAGAATAGGCGCAGTAGTGAAGGCGCTAACGCCGGTCAGATAAAGTATTGCATTTGGAACGTAGCACGAAGCAGTGGCTTCGAAGGTAGTCCCTCCATTTTGCCAGACTTCGGAAGGCGCGACGAAACGTCCCGGGAGTAAGGCGCAAAGGGTCAACAACGGAGTCTGATTAATTTTAGAGAACGATCAATAGAGTGGAGTCACAAAAAAGCTGTACCATATCCAGATACAAATCAGGTCTTGCAAAGCAAGGCTTGTCTGAATATGTTACACAAGCTGGCTGACTGTCTTCTTCCTCACCGTCAGTTAGGAAAAATTACCCTATTGCCGGTTTGACCAATATTCGGTATAGACGTTTAGTAGAATGTAAGTACATACTATATGGTGGTCGGGATAAATTGACACACGTTTTGGCGGATCGTTGGTCGTTATACATGTGCATGCCTTCATTACCGCGCGAACTGTTGGCATTGCAAAAGACCGAGCTACTACTTCGATCAAATATTACGTTGTCTATTGTGAAGGAGACAACTTAGAGCATGTGGCTTTGGCGCACCAAAGCGAAAACGACACGGCTGGACATCACGGTGATTGTACAATAGTAAAATTGAATTTTCGATTATTGTGTGCCATCCCCGTGTTGACATTCAGACGTATCTTAGTGACTGCATTTGACCTAACGTGGCTCGAGTTGTCCACGAATATCCCAGGTGCAAACCTTATGCCATTGTGTCAAACTGATTCGAAGCTCTCTATACAGAATAAGATCAAGAGAGTCGATCTATGTCGCTTGTTTCCCATTACGGCTAAACGTCAAACAGCGGACGGTCTCCGATTTTTAACAATGAGAAAATACCTATGTAATATTAAGTAAGCAAGGGGGATCGATGCCTTGCTTTCCGCTAGACAATCTCTTTACCGATAAATAAAACTGTCAGGTATTTAGTACTTAATTTAATAATCAGATATTCTAAATATCGTAACGAAATCGGAAATTATCATTGTGTTAAACAATAGAGCAGACAACTTCCAGACGAATAATTCATCTCATGGCACAAACAAATCGTTGCCAACATGTCTGCAAGAGAATGTCTCTATTGACAGCTGCAAAAATAAATTAACCCGCTTTGATTTAGATGCAGCCTACCGACAAGCAAACTTAATTTTTGCTCGAGTGTATCTTAAATAATCTGTACACGCTTTCTTGCTAGAGATGCCCCTTGCCGCCGGTACGCCAACGACCGAATTAGCTCTGTCAACTAATATCTATAGAGAAATTTCTATTTGTCGCTATATATACCAGGTCCGATCTCGGTCCTACGAGTTCTGCTCTTTGCAAAAGCGTACCCTCATGCATGCATCACGATTGCTACTTAATAAAGGCAACTTAAGTAACTTACAGTAGCAAAGGCAGCAATCGCTGACAGCATCGGTGGCTAACAATGTCGATTGCGTGTGTAAGTATGCGACCAGGACACGCTCGTTTCCTTGGCACCGGAACGTGGATTGCGTGAAAAACAAACAGACCATAGCTGATGTTCAAGCGCAGGTAGTGTAAAGGCCTACTGACTGACTGACTCATTCTCATGCTACAAAAAGTAAAAGATAGTCGGAGAAAAAGGACAAAAGCGTACTTGCCGAAGAGTTGGGTTTTAAGAATGGAGCTCCTGGGTCTTGCTCAGAACTGTTGAGCTCACGCTGACGTTGGTCCTGACCTGATCAATTCTACACACATCCTTACGATCTCCTTATTAGTCTTTTTACCTTATCCATTTAGTTCGTATGTTTCAACTTCTTATCAGATTGTCTGACCGTTGGCAATCGTCGCCTATCTTGCGCTAGCCATTAGACGAGTTGGGTGACTGTATGAAGTGGTGTGCCATATATGACTCAATAGAAGAAGCTCAATAGGATTTCTCTGCTAACACGCATAGCTATGCGCCTCTTGGACACGCGTTTAAGGCATGTCTTCGACAGCATATCAGCTGATCAGCAAAGGGAGTAGATGCCCCGGTCTAATCTGAGAAGCAGAGAAGATGCGATCAGCTGTTTACAGCCTCTTGCGCTTGGCTCACGACAAGAGCGCGAAGGCTAAGGGAAGACATTAGGAAAATTTCGGCTAACTGTTGCCAGGTTCGTATCTTGCTTTTCTGGTTAAAGCCTATCAGGCGGACGGCCAGAGCCGTAGACTTTTTCTATCTACTCCTTCTTATTGTCTTTAATTTCGAATGCTGGGGAAATTAAGCCGCTGCCGCCGCAACTCCTGCTACTATCTTCCAGGCCCTGTTCTGGCCTGTTTGTTGTTTTACTAGTTTCCTCACTCTGTGATTTTCTCTTTGCCTTCTTTCCATGGTCCATTGTCTCAGTCTCCCCTGTGTTTCGCACTCATTTCAAGCGTTCCCTGTCTTTGCCTTGCAATCAAAATGGCTTTGCTCAGCATTAATTTAGTGGTCAAGGATAACAATTACACACGTGGATGTCTGTGCACACAACGGACAGGAAGAGCGCACTGTCAGCCGCATCAATCAGCTCGAAGCGACTAGATCCCAGGTTAGAGACAGTCAACTTATGGGTTGATTAGTGAACTGGAAAACGCGAGCGACTTTTCATCTCACGGTTGGCTACATTTAATAAAACTAGCGCAGTGGTGCGTCCGCGAGGAAAACAAGACCGACGACAATGAGTTTGAGGATGTACTCTTCAATGGGCGTTTGGACGCCTACGCAGTGTCCATATAGTGGAACCACTTAAAACCGCCGGGCTCATCATCCGGCCAAAGTTGACCAATGAAAACCGAAAAATCAATTCTACTCTCTTCTTTTTTTTTCTGTAGTAGCTTAGGCGGATAGGCAGCTGACTGTAGTTAATCAACTTTTCGGATACGCTTTTTTCTGGTATTATCAATGCCTTCAGTGGCTGCCGGCAGCTAGGGTCATGGTATATATTATAAAGATGGCTGGCTTAGGATCAAGGACGTTAGGAAATTTTGCCTGAAAACATATACATATATATTGAATTGATTAATCTCGTATGAGGATTTATAGTCACCCACATACAATAAAGGGTAATTTATTTCTACTAACAGGTAAACAACTCTTCATATGTGAATCCTACCGGTTCAAATTTATCTATGTATCCTTTTCGATTTGATAATCACCTGAGGTTGGAAAAAAAACTGCTGTGAAAATGCAATATTGCCTTTGATATATTTGTTTTGAAAGAAGCGATCAATAAGCAATAATGTTTGTATCAGTATTCTTAAATGTATCATATAGTGTTATTGAAATACACTGAGCTTCAGTGTTGCCGGCATACTTGACCCAGCCACGCGCGAAGTCGTTCGTTCGTGTAGTTCTTTTTCGCGTATAACAGTGGCAGTACTCGAGGTCCGTTATTGTGAATCCACCGCACCGGCTGGTATAGGCGCCGTGCTAACGGCAGACAGAACCGAAGAAAATGATGCCGTTTAGGCCCTGCATGGACGTCTTCCTTCTTCCCTGTTTCGAAAAGACGGTGCGATCGGGGGCACGGCCCAGGGTGCTGCGGAAGAGAGGGACGACCAGGGGTCGAGAGGGAATCGGCCAGTCAAAGAAAGATTAAGTAAACGAATTCTCTTCAATTGCTTCCTTCCTTCGGAGGGGCGCAATGTAAATAGTCACTCCTTACAATGATTCTTACTACCCTCTAGCTGAGAGCACTGGCGCAGGGAAAATAAGAAGAATAGAGAGACTACGAGATCGCGCGAATGGGTCGGCTGAGCGCAAATCATCATGAATTTCTGTTTTTTTTTCTGTAGAAAGAATGCAAATTATGGCACGTTTAGCGTGGATTTCTTTTTGCATCAGCGTAATTTTTAACGCACCGAGGCGAGCACGAGCACGTGCGTTGTCCATAAATAGACGGTTGGACACACACGCCTACATACACTCGCATAGACAGGCACAACAGACAGAACAGAGACTAAACAAGTGCCATTCAGCCACTAGGTAATAAAAAAAGTGGTACGAAATCAACGTAAATTCCTGATTGTAATAATATGCAATTGTTTTACGATATTCTCAATATTAAAAATTGGTAAGTGGGTTGTTTTATCATTTACTCATATATATATATATGTATATATGTATATATATATATATATATATATATACGTACATATATATATATATATATATATATATATATATGTACGTGCACAAACACAGCAGTGGATGTGAGTGTTGGGTAGACGGCAAGGCAGAAGTCCTAAAAATCGAAGGGTCCGAAATTGCCAGAACTCAATTGCAAAAAAGAGAAATACCTCCGAAAGCAACATTAAGCGTCAAAATCGACAGTCAAAAAGGTAAGTCCGAATTTTTCTAGACGTAAGTAATAAATTACTATAATATAAGCAGTGAGGTAGGTATGTGGAATATAGGTACGCGTGTACTGAACCGTTGGCGGCAGATGGTCACCACTGAGAGCCATCTTGCTTGTTTTAACTGAGTTAGCCCCTAGTGTTTATGGAGCTAGAAGGGACACAATAGAATTGCATTTGTGTCCGAGATCCCTGTTTAATCATGTTTTGTCTTCCCGTAATGATGACCCCATAGAGCAGGCTGTATTCATAGGGTCCATAGTTCAACAGAACCACCATTTTGTACCGTGCTTGCAACAGTAATGCTCAACAATTCTATGGTCCGATTCGGTTTGGTGTGGTCCACGTCATTTCAGCCAGTGCAGCGGAGCGACGGTCGGTAAAGAGAGAAAAAAAAAAGGAAGCAGAAATTTGATGGAAGAGCTCGTTCGATGTCCTGTGACGACGAAAGCTGGTTACTCCCGGTGTCATCGTTGTATTGTGAAAGCGAAGAGTTCCTACAGATTTCTGAGCGAGGCAGACGGGCATACTGTTTGCGCTGCGATAGGGCAACGGCCTCCGATGAAGTAGAGGCAGTCCTATGTCGAACCGAAATAGCCAGGAAGAAGGGGGAAAAAAAGGAAGTTGTGGTAGATTCAGTTCGCTTGATCGAACTGGGTTGTTTTATAGAAAAAAAAAACAGCTGAGGACGAAGGAAGCAATTAAACTGGTAAGAAGTCAGTACGCGACTAGCAGTATCGTTGCTCCGGGACAGGGGCAAGGGACGAGCATGGAAGACGGAACAACAGGCTGTGTCTGGAACACCGCCATCAGCAACGTCTGCAGGGTCTGCCACCACAAAAAAGCCGTAGGTAATAGAAAATATATTTATTAGGGAACTGTTTTTCTGATTCCTGTCTATTTTTCTCTTCTTTATTGTCATACTTTTGCTGTTTGTCGATCGGAAAGGAACTGGGCCCATACGAAAGGGTGAGCGGAATGGAGACCTCTATTCTATCTGTGCATCGTCTTCATACCGCCTTACTGTGTCGCTGTATGTGCGAAATAGTGCAAGTATTCGATTAAAGGCAGTGACACTATGGCAGCTGTTGTTCTCAGTTGATACCGTAGCCGTTCTTGCCACAGCGGCCTGTGGTGGCCGCTAACAGCTCACGGCTGCTTGACGAGAATCAGCAGTTCCCAGTTTTTCTTTGTGAAGAATTTCTTAGCTTGTGGCTGCCTCGAGGTCCGTTAGGGTTCCCAAAGGCCTTGGCAAATAGCCGAGCTCCGGCAGAAGGACGAATAGCTTTCCTCATAGAAGGAGGGACCCTTGTCTCAAGTGACAATCACTCCGTATTGGATCGTATAGTTGGATGAACTATTGCATTGCTTTTCTCTATTACTGTTATGAGCACGGCGGGCAGTATAGCAGGTAGCCTCCTTTTACTCTTCTCAAGACCTCGCGTCGAGAGATCCTTTACTAGGAAGACTTGCAAAGAAGTGACGATAGCAGCCGGCAACCAGCGCGAAACTCGTTGTCTCCTTTCGGGAACGGCTGTCGGGATGGCCGTTAACGTAACACAGTCATTGGTGCTGCGTAGGTGGCAGTATCAGGCCACGAGGCGTTGTTATTAGGAACGTGCTCTGCGCAGACGGCCTGCTCACTAATTCGAGAGATGATTATTTTGCTATATTTAAAAGAGCGATCCCCTATCCGGCATCTCGTTAAGAAACAAAAGAGAAAAAATAGCATAACATATTCCAGTGCTCAGAGCTGACAGTTCGAAGCTGCTTGTGCACCAAAAATGTAATACCTGTTCAGGCAAATAGGGGAGCTCGAATTGTTGCAGACGTACGCATGATGTCATACAGCTGGTCGAGCTTTATTTAACTATCATTGAATGTCACACATGTGTAACGCATGAAGACTGAAGAAACCAATTTTTTCTGTTCATTATTACCATTACTACTTGCCACTTGATACTACTGTTATCATTATCACCATCGAGTAATTCTACTCGATGTATAATCCGCATATCTGAACATGTACCGCGCAATCCTTAAAAGTTGAGGATATTTACATAAACATTATTATCGGCCAAATCTTTCATTAAATTCAGATGATGCGTGCATAGGATTTCAGCACAGCTGTAGCACTCCTTGTTCGATACAAAACCTCTGAAGTAAGACACGAACGAGTCACTGAACCACCAGCTAAGCATGGCCTGGATGAACAATGAATGCATCAAACATTTTAGGCCATTAGTACGATTAATTATTCTAAAACGTTTACGTACCCTCATTTGCCTGCCTGAACATAGTTGACAGTCGAAGGCGAAGTTGAGAATGGGGAGAATTGAAGAATTTAATTTTTCAGCATGACGATTGTTTGCCAGCGAGGCGCAACTGTACGCACATAACCAAAAATAAGTAACGCTAAATATCCTGCTATTTTTCGTCAATCGTTTGCACGATGCACGTGCACGCAAAACAAAAAAAATGTATTTGTTTTTTTTTCAAAAAGAAGAGGAAAAAAGCGATTTTTTGCGTCTCTAATTGGGTTTAATGAAAGGACAGAATGAGATTTACCTGTTTATTTTGCACGCCGTGGAAGCGTAGGCGTCTAGCCTATGTATATACGTATATATATATATACATGCCACGAGGGCTTGTGAGGCGTCTGAGTAGTCGGGCCAGAATGAGTGCAACAACGAAGTAGTAGTATGACTAATCGTGCGGAGATGTTTTTAGTGGTAAGGAAAGGAGTTTGTAACAC